AAATAAGTCAGTCAAAGAAAGACAATTATCATATTGTCTTTAGAATTTAAGAAACAAAACAGAGGATCATAGGGGAAGGGAGGGGAAAATAAAATACGACGAATCAGAGAGGGAGACAAACCATACGAGACTCTTAACTCTAGGAAACAAACTGAGGATTGCTGGAGAGGAGGTGGGTGGGGGGATTGGAGTAACTGGGTGATGGGCATTAAGGAGGGCACATAATGTAATGAGCATTATACATTATACACAACTGATGAATCACTGAACTCTACCTCTGCAACTAGTAATATCCTATATGTGAATTAATTGAATTTAAATAAAATTAAACTAAAAAAATTTTTGTGCACCCAAAAACAACACACAGAATAGGAGAAAATATTTATAAATTAGGTATCTGAAAGGGGATATATAGAGAACTCCTAAAATTCAACAACAACAAAAAATAAAGTCAAAACAGGGCAAAGGACTTGAATAGCATTTCTCCAAAGAAAATATACAAATGACCAATAAGCACATGAAAAGACGCTCAACATCACTAATCACTGGGGAAATGCAAATCAAAATGATAATGAGATACCACCTCACACCCATTATTATGGCTACTATCAAAAAAAAAAAGAGAGAGAGAACAAGTTTTGTTAATGTGGAGAAATTGGAACCCTGTGCAGTGTTGGTGGGGAGATAACATGGGGCAGCTGCTATGAAAACAGCATGGAGCTTCCACAATTAAATTTGGAATTACCATACGACCCAGCAATTCCTCTTCTAGGTACATACCCAAAATACTTGAAAAAGCAAGGCGTCTAAGAGATGTTTGCACACCCATGTTTACAGCAGCATTATTCACAACAGCTAAAACATGGAAGCAACCCAAGAGTCCATGAAGAGATGAACAGATAAGCAAAATGGGGCCCATTCCTACAGTGGGTATTAGCCTGGAAAGGAAAGCAAACTGACACACACTACAACATGGATGAGCCCTGAGGAGATTATGCTGAGTGAAAAAAGCCAGTCACACAAGGACCAATCATGAATGATTCCACTCGCAGAGTACCTGGAATAGTAAAAACCAATGAGCTAGAGAGCAGGTGATGGTCACTGGGGTGCAGAGGGGAGAACGGGGAGTTATTTAATAGGTGCAGAGTTTCAGTTTTACAAGACGAAAGAGCTCTGGAGAGGATGGTCACACAGCACTGTGAACGCATTGATATCACTGAACCGTACACTTAAAAATGATGAAGACAGCAAAATTTATCTTACGTGTATTTTACCACAATAACAAAAATTTGGGAAAAAAAATTAAACATAGAATTAGCCTATGACCCAGCAATTCCACTCCTAGGTACACACGCAGGAGAAATGAAGACACATTCACACAAACACTTATGCACAAATGTTCCCGTCAGCATTATATTTAATAACCAAAACCTTAAATGTCCACCAGCGGATGAATGGATAAATACTGTGGCACATCCATACATATTCATCCATAAAAAGGAGAGGAGTACTGACCCTGGTCTCCACATGGCTGGATCTTGTAACATTGCACTCAGTGAGAGGAACCAGACTCAAAAAGCCACATATTATTTGATGCCATTTACATGAAACATCGCAAATCGACAAATCCATAGAGACAGAAAACAGTGGTTGCCCAGGCCTGGGGGACACGGTGGGGGGGATCACTGGGAAAGTGGGGAGTGACTGCCAATGGCTAATATTCTGGAATTATATAGAGGTCATATCGCACAGCTTTTAAATACACTAAAAACCACTGAATTGTGTACCTTAAAAAAGTGAATTTTATGGAATGAGAATTAGATCTCAATGAAAATAAAAATACTGATCATAAAAAAAGAATACATGCAAGGGCATTTTATGTAAATCTAGCTTACAAATTTAGTCAATGGCTATCATAATATATTCCTGAATTCCTAAGAATATTGCTTATTCATAAGAAGAGTATCTTCAAGAATTCAGGATCATATGAGAAAAGAATATATTCGTTAGATGGATGAACGTTCCCATGACCCTTGGCTTTCAACAAAATGAAGAGTCTTCAAAATGCTGCCAAGAATACATTAATCGAAAAGATCCAGGCGTTTTCTTTAAGACATGTTTTTGACGAAGAAATAAACTTGGAAAATTTGATTAACTATTGGCAAATTGACCATGAGTAGTGGTTCTCAAATTTTAGCATGCATAAATGAAAACATAGATTACCTGGCCCCACATCCAGAGGTTGTAGCCCCGTAGGGCTGGAGTGGGGCCCAAGAATCTGCATTTCTAACAGCTCCCAGGTCATGCTAATGCTGCTGGTCCAGGAGCACACTTTGAGAACCGTTCTATTAGAGCCATACCTGGCAGAGGTTGGTTGAAGGAATGAATAAACGACGGCTGGATTGACCTCACCTTAGCCTCCAGAACCTTCGGTGTGCATCTGAAGCCCACTGTCCCGGGCCTCCGGGCATGCCTCTGGCAGCCTCAAGCTCCCTCCCCACTCCAGTGTCCTGGGAACAAGGCCTGGGCTCTTCTGTAGCCAGGGTGCCGGGACAAGGCGAGGCCCTCAGGGCCTACCTGTATCTTGGGATTTATCAATGGTCCTAGGACTTGAACCTCTGTCTCCTGGCAGCTGGACACATCCCAGCAACACCACTATCATCGGACAATGAGCTGACCGGAGGTGGCAGCAAAGTTGGCCGGCCCCTCAAAGTGCAGTGGAGGCCCCGGGCTCAGGGCTGGCAGGGTGGCCGCCGCTGCTGGCCTAAGTGTAGCCGTAGCCCCCAGGAGAGGCTGGGTCACATGAGCACAGCACCACCCACAGCCAGGGGAGGAGAGGTACCCTCGTCATCATTCTGTGGATGTGTTACTTGTGGCTCAAGGTCACCCACTGAGCTCCCTTCAGGGCCACAGCCTGGGCTTGAGGAAGAGCTGGTACCCACTGAGGGGTTGCGGGGGGGAGGTGCCCCTAGGACCAGTGAAGCACACCTAGGCCCATTTCTACCCCAAGGCCCCACAACTGGGAGGGAGGCACCCAGCCTTCAGAAACACCAACCCTTGTGTGGGGACTCTCATTTCCTGCTCAGGCTCCAGCCTACGGGAAAGCAGGTCCCATACCAGACCTCAGGGGCCAGTGGGTGAGGGTCAGAGGGAACAGGCACCAGAGTGAGGCCCTATTTATAGAGTAGCTGTGGCCAGTGATTACAGGGCTGGGCTACCCCACCCCCTCCACCCCTTCCTGCCACAGAGATCAGAAGAACCTACAGTCTAGTGGGATGGGCAGGCTGGCCATGGGGGGGACAGATGGGTCTAGGAGGGCCGGAAGGGGATTGCCTTGAAGATCCCTGGATCCAGCTCCCCACTCTGGAAAGCTGGGGGCTTGGCTCTGAGGGCAGGGTGGCCCCAAACAGGGTCACACTGAAGCATCCCCCAACCTCTGCTCTGGTTGCCCCAAGCCTCTCTTGGCCTGTGTCCTCCACCCTGCAGCCCCTCCATGAGGCTTCAGGTCCCAGGCTCCCTGCCAAGGGTACCATGGAGCAGACAAGCCAGGGAAAGCCAGGTCTCACAGCCAGGGAGGGGCCTGGGCCAGCCCAGGGCAGTTGCAGGCAAAACCGCGGTGGGGTTCTGCTTTGAAAAAGGAGACAAAAATAGCAGAAGGTTATTGGGGGGGGCAGGGAGGTGGGAGGGACTGGGGGTGCCAAAGATGCAGACAGAGAAAGAGACAGGCTACACACAGTGACAGGGACAGAGGCTGGCAGAAGGAGAAACAGATCACAGTGGGGAAACCGCTGGAGTTTTGAAACAGCTCAAAGCAAAGCAGCTGGGGTGAAGGGAGGAAGCAATGCGGGGTGAGCTGCCCACAGTCTGGGACAGCCCGGTGCCCATGCCCAGAGGGCTCCAGGCCATGGAAACCATGCAGCCCCAGCCTCAGGAGCAGACCACAGTCCCCGTCCAGTAGACCAGTGTGAAGACCAGCCCAACACCCTGCAGTGCCCACTGCGTGTGGCCAGGAAGCCCCTAAGAGAGCACGGCAGCTGGCAAAGGAGGCAGCGCTTTGGTGGGGCCAGGGGAGCCAGGGAAGAAGCACCTGGGGCACAGCCCTGGGGTCAGCCAGCACCTGGCACTCTGCTCGGTGCTTTGCACACATGGACACATTTACTCATATCAGGTAGAAACTATTATTATCTGCATTTGACAGGTGGGGAAACTGAGGCTCAAAGAGGAAAAGAAACATGCCTGAGGCCTCAGAGCAAGTAAAGCCCAGAAACGGGATTTGACCCCAGGCCACAGCGCATGTACACATCTGAGGGCACATCTCTTGGGCACCCATTTTGCCCGGCACACAGCCCCGCCCAACCTCACAAAACCTACAGGTAAGTGGGTGAACCGCCATCCAGGCAAACTGAAAGCAGGAACCCAATAAAGGCCCTTCGCACACCCACCCCTAAGGACAGGCTTCCCCTTGGAGCCGGCAGGGCACAAGTTGTTCTGTGGGCCATTTGAAACTTCACCATTTGGGGGGGAAATACTGTTTGGTGATTCCCAGTCCAGCGAGCAAAGATTACATGTGGTTTCTGGTTAATAAGTTCTAGCTGGGCATAGTGTTGCAAGACCAGACAGGCAGGGACAGCCAGGCCCAAACAGCACAAACAGGCCCCAGGGACCTTGATGGGGGAGGGAGAGGGAGGGTTTCCCCAGCCCTCTCAGTCCCCTGGGTGACCTGGGACTTCAGGGCTGACCTGCATGTCCCCAGGTCAGGGACATTCCCTCTGGTAATCAGGCCCATGGAGGAACACATTAACAAGCCCTTCACAAATAAAAAACAATTCCACTTATTTTTTTTTAATTTTTTTTCTGAAGAGAAAGAGATCTTTCCACTTGTATTTAAAATTCAAACTCTATTTGCTGAATTCCACAAACCACCTGGAATGGAACCCCTCTTGGGTGTAGTCTCATCACCTCTGCCTGCAGAATGATCAGGAACCGCCCCTGCCCCCTACCTCCCACCTCCTCCATGGTAGTCAGCTCAGGGCAGCAAATCCCTTTGGCTCTGTCCAGGATAATCACTGGTCTCCTTATCCAGCTTCTTATTTCTCTTCCTTCTACCTTGGTGATCTTAAAACCTACATGGCTTCCTACTGGCTAACAAATTCCTGTTTCTTCCCAGAGCCACCTCCTGGTGCACCTCCCACCTGGCCTCTGCTCAGCCCCCCTGCCTCTCTGCCTGCTCCCTCTCTCCTTCAGCTACCCACTCAGTCACTCTCCAGATGTG